CTTTTTAAACTGTGGGTAAATATTTCCACTTAAAGGAACGATAATCACGCTGTGGGTTAAACCTAAGGTGAATGTAGCTAAATGAGGTCCCTCGTGTAAAGGGCAGGGCAGCTCTTAGAGCACCTTGAACGTCCGCATGAGGACTTCTGGACCTCGGTCATACTCAACACACAAAATGATGCATAAATGATCATGGCTCAACCTTTGGGGTGATAGAACTATTGTGTTGGGGGATAGACTTGTTTGTTCTTTGCTGGGGTACAAATACTGCATACTCTCGATTCTCTGTGGCTTCCTGAGGGAGTTGATTTACAATCTCAAAATGAGCACTTTGTTTTCTTCACTTTTCGGCTCATCCCTGACCCAGAAGAAGGCTGCTCATAGCTGGTCAATCACAAAGCAAGAAAAAAGACAAAAATGAATCACAAAAACAACCAGGTAACCTGGTGGTGCAGAGGATTCAACTCCCAGCCTGTGGATTTAGGAATCCATGCTGGGAGATTCGGGACAATAATAAAGCTGGGAATGGTAATTTGGCAGGGCAGAGCTTCAGAGGTAGGCGTTGGAGTGAGGCAGGGGGGACATTGAGCATCTGAAACTAAGCAAGACAACGAAGAATAAAATCCAGGTGAGGGGAACCACTTGATTCTTTGCTTCTTCTTCCAGTTAGTCAGGTCCATGGATCTTGAGCACCTACTATGGGCTCAGCAGCGTTCTGGCCACTGAGGACAGAGAACATAAATGTCCTGGAGATGAGGATGGATGGACCCGGCCTCTGAGCAGAAAGATGTTTAAGATGCAAGCAGTCAGGCAAACTAGATGTGACTCTTGCCTCTGTCACTTATTCGTTGCATGACTTCAAAGAACTTTCTTAGCCTCTCGTAGCCTCAGTTTCCGGTTAGGTAAAATGGGGATAATAATCAGATCAATTCCATAGATTTATAGTGAGATTACCTAAGAGTAATTGTGTAAACCACTCAGCATAGTGGCTGGCACACAGCATGTACTGACCAAGTGACAGTATTTGTTCCTTTTATGTATTAATGTAAGTCCCCTAATAGAAGAATACAAAGCTTCACTGACAACACCAAGGGAGGAACGATTTTTTATCTCTTCTTTTTATTTATTTCCAATGGAGCACGCACTATAGTTTAGAATGATATTCCCAAATATGTACTAGCTCTTCGACACTGTCTTTCCCTTGCCCTCACTAGACAGCAAGGGTCAGGAAGGCAGGTGGCCCGTCTGCTACGTTACCTTGACCCCTCAACGGTCCTTAACACCTAAGCAGATATCAGGTACCTAATAATCAAGTTATTATTATTGTCGTGGTTATTTTTTGAGACAGAGTCTTCCTCTGTCATCCAGGCTGGAGTGCAGTGGTGCGATCTGGGCTCACTGCAACCTCCGCCCCCCAGGTGCAAGGGATACTCCTGTCTCAGCCTCAGGAGTAGTTGGGACTGCAAGCCCGTGCCACCACTATGCCCAGCTAATTTTTCTCTTCCCCACCCCTCCCCTCCCCACCTCTTTTCTCCTCTTTCTTTTCTTTTTCTTTTATTTTTGAGATGGAATCTCACTCTGTCCCCCAGGCTGGAGTGCAGTGGCGGGATCTCTGCTCATTGCAGCCTCTGCCTCCCGGGTTTCGTGATTCTTCTGCCCCAGCCTCCTGAGTAGCTGGGATTACAGGCACCTGCCACCAAGCCCAGCTAATTTTTGTATGTTGAGTAGAGATGGGGTTTTACCATGTTGGTCACACTGGTCTCGAACTCCTAACTTCATGATCCACCGACCTCAGCTTCCCAAAGTGCTAGAATTACAGGTGTGAGCAACTGCGCCTGGCCTTTATTTTGTATTTTTAGCAGAGACAGGTTTTTACCATGTTGGCGAGGCTGGTCTCAAACACCTGACCTTAGGCAGCCTGCCCACCCTGGCCTCCCAAAGTGCTGGGATTACAGGTGTGGACCACCGTGCCTGGCCTTTCATGTTATTATTTAAGCATTTAGAGATGAGAGTTCTAATGCATTCAGATGAATTTGCTAATCCTTAGCAACAATCTGATAGACTACTTTCTGTCATTGTCCCTATCTTCCAATGAGATGAGTGAGGTGCAGAGAGACTGAGTCATTTGCTCAGGTTCACGTGACAACTAAGCAGTAAAGCCAGGGTTGAAATGTGCTCTGGCCACACTATTGCCTCTGCCTCTATCCACTGCCAAGGGAATATTTGTTTAATAAATAAACAAATGAATGCGTAATTTAAAAAGGCTTATGGAGGAGACAATTTAATTGAATAGAAGGATGAGTAGCAGTTTGTAGGTAAGCTAGGGACAGAAGTACAAATGTGGCCACACATTAGAAAGATTGCAACTTTAGGAAGATCAAGTACTGCAAATAAATAAATGAATGAGGCCCAGTGCAGTGGCTCATGCCTGTAATCCCAGCACTTTGTGAGGCCGAGGCGGACGGATTTCTCAGGAGCTCGAGACCAGTCTGGCCAGCCAACATGGTGAAACTCCGTCTCTACTAAAAATACAAAAATTAGCCAGGTGTGGTGGTGGGCACCTGTAATCCCAACTACTTGGGAGGCTGAGGCAGGAGAATTGCTTGAATCTGGGAGGCAGAAATTGCAGTGAGCTGAGATCG